CCGGGGGGGCGGCCGGGAGGCTCTGCCCCGGCCTCTCGGAGCCCGTTCCTGTATCTCTGCTCCAACCGCTGAAGGCAGCTTTCCTGGCTGCGCTCCCGTCCCTGCGTGCAGCAGCCTGGCTGCTGTCAAACCCAACCTTCCGAATTTCTCTAGTTATTTGTCAAGTGAAACTGCCCCCACCTGACGCTCTGCCGGGCCAGGAGGAATTATCTCAGCTTGTGGTGGGAGCGCAGAGAGTGTGATAACTCCGCCTGGTACCCAGCGTGGTGAAAGGGCACAGGAGGATGCTCCGCGAGGGCCTGAGTGCTGCTGGCTTGGATTGAGGCAGAGGGCGTTCAAATTATCAGCTGGAATTCCCTAATAAACCAAGCCTGCTCCTGCTGGCTTGCAAGCAGCGGAGCTGGATGCGTTTCGGGGCAGCGGCTGGGGGAGCGCGGTCTCCCAAACTCTGGGGGGTTTGGTAGGGAGAAGCGACGGAAGGAGGCAGGTCTGATGAAAATCTTGGCTGTACCTCCCTGCCGGCGACGCTTTTTGAAGGAGACACACACGGCTTCGCTGGGCTGAAGCTGCTCTGTTAAGAAAACTATTTGCTTCTCGTCTTGGCGATGACTTTCAGCTGTCCCCTGGAGAGCTGGTGCATGGGCAGCAGTGCCGCATAATTCCTGGAAACGCTGGTACTGGGACTTGGCCGGGCTGCCTTGGGGTTTCCTTTCAACTGGGAGCCGGGCAGCGGCTGCTCCCCCGGGGCTGTTCCTGGGGCTGTGGCACAACCCAGGGCCCTGTAAACCCTCTCCTGCGTGGGGTGACCCCGTTGTGCCATGTCCCACCTGCCTTCCCTCCGGTCCACTGTGGTTCCACAGGGACGCCCTGCCATCGCCCGGTCCCTTATCGAAAGCCCTGTGGTCCCTGCTCCGCTTCGGGCACGTGGCGGGGAGGGCAAGGGGACGGTCCCAGCTCCTGGCTCTGCACCCGTGCCTCCATTTCCCCAGTAACGGTGATAAACGGGGTGGCTGCGTCTCAGGGAGCGGTGCCCATCACCCTCCCTTCCGCGGGAGCAAGGAGCGGAGGCTGCCAGCCAGGGTGGAGGGTGGAAGGTCCTTGTTAGAGGTCACCAAATCCAGGCAGAGCTGGAAACGAAGCTAATCTCCTGCTGTCGCGCCAAGCTTCAGGCGGGCTGGAAAAAACTCCCCATGCGGGTGCCAGCCCTCGGCCTGGCAGCGGCTGCAGCGTGGCTGCGTCCCCGTGCCCGTGGGGGCCGGGTTGGCACAGCACCGTCTTCTCTCCATCATAAATTCAAGGCTCATTTGCACTTTGACTTAGTTGGTTGTTGCATTTGTTTTTCATTTTGACTTTGCCATGTTTTGTCCCTCTGTGTAGACCTGCCTGCTTCATTTGTATTTGAAAGTGTACCGCGGTAGCTCATTTGTAGTCACAGAACTAGGCATAGACTCATAGGACAAGTTCTGATAGCGTGATCTTCCTCTAAAAGCCAAAATACAAATTTTATGGTGTGTT